GAACCAGGGATTGAACTCAGGCCCTTGCATTTGCCAGGGAAGCGCTTATTCTACCGAGCCATCTCCCCAGCCCTCAATGTTTCAATTTAATTTTGTTTGATATTTGTTCTCTCTGTCTGTTGTTTTGTTTTGTTTTGAGACAAATTTTGCCAAATTGTAAATTGTCTAGGCTAGGCTTGAACTTGCAACCCTCCTGATTCAGCCTTCCATAGTGCTGAGATTACAGGCATGCACCACCACCCCTGTACTGAGGATTGTACCCAGGGCCTCATGCAGGGCAGGCCAGTGCTATACCACTGAGGTACGGCCTTGGCTCTAGTTCTGTTTAAAATCATTTCTTTTTGTTGAGATTCCACCTTTATCAAATCGTGTATCATCATGCTTTCTTTAATTTTTAAAACATAATTTCCTCTAGCTCTGATTATTTTTTATAACAGCTGCTTTGGAATCTTTGTGTACTCAATTTAATGTCTGAGGACCTCAGACCATTTCTTTTTTAAATTTTTTATTTATGTATTTATTTGGTACAGAGTCTCACTATGCAGCTCAGACTCATAGTAATCCTCTTGTTTCAGCCTCTGCAGTGCTGGGATTATAGGCATGCGTCACCACACCCAGCTTTGGTCTGGCGGTACTGGGGATCAAACCTGGGTCCTTGCGCTTGCCAGGGAGCCGCTTAGACCACTGAGCTATCTCTCTAGCCCACTCAGCCCATTTCTTTCAACTGTTTTTCTCCTTGGTATGGACTGCACTTTCTTTTTGTTTGTTTGTTTGTTTGTTTGTTTTTATGTCTCTTTAGTATTTTTCTATACTGCTAGACATCTGAGCTAATGTATTATTCCAACTCTGGAGTCTGGCTCTCTTCCTAGGATTATTTCATTTGTTGTTTACTTGGAGTAAACTGCTATCTCTGCTGCAACGTTCAGATATTTTCCTCGCATTTATGTCTAAGCCTGGAAGTTCCCTGGGTCTGTATATCTTAGTGCCTGCCTGGACTTTGATGAGAAATTGTGCTCGTGCACCTCAGGCTCCTTCCAGCCCCTGCCAGGCCTGTGTGAGCCCAGTAGGACACCACATTCAGACTGTGACCCTGTCAGCCAGGGCCCTGCGGGCGGCTGGGGCCCCGCTGGTGTATGCTGTCCCCAGTCTCCTGAGGGCACCTCCTAGCTGATCACACCTTGGACGCTTAGATCATTGGGCACTTGTGGATCCACTGATCACCGCACCCAGACTGTAACCTCAGGCAGCAGAAACCTGGTCCTCACTGCTGGCTGCCACTGAGACGTAATCCTCCAGGGGCTCCATGTCACTTGAGCCCCGTCCACAGCAGCCACAAAATGGTGCTTTTTAGGGTCTGTCCTGCCCCAGAGCTGCTACCACTTTTAATACTTTGCTTCAAAAAACATGTCTTTACTCCTAATAGGAATAAAATGCTGATAAAGGTAGTTGTTTTAAATTTGTTTGACCCAAGAAGATGAAACGCAACATTCTAAAACCTACTCCATTTTTGTATCCTGAGACAAATCCATCTTTTTTCCTGCATAGATGGGCTTGTGCACAGAGTGTGGGAACGTGGTACCCATGAACACCCCCATCTGTGTGGTGTGCGAAGCCCCACTCGCTCCACAGCTGCGGCCCCAGGCCAGCCTCCATTTGAAGGTAATGGAAGTGACTCTGCTCCAGATGGGAATGAAATGCATAGAACGGCCTGTGGGAACAATTATGTCTTTCTTCCACTGGTGGACCAGGCTAACAGTTGATAAGCTAACATCTGTGAACAAACCTCATCTGATTTTTGGAAAAGCATACTGCTCAAATGTTTGGCTTGCCAATAGGATCTGTAATGTTAGGAGATATTTAGAAATATATTCCCTGAATATGAAATTGGAAGACAAGTTACACTATAGCTGACTTAGACAGTTTTTACTTATTTATTTAAACTTTGTCCTTGAGATTAAGATTGACTTATTGCCTTGTCTTAAAGTGGTTTCATGCTTTTGTTTGCTTTGTTTTATTATAGTTCCCTATAATGTACAAAAAGAATGATTAGAACTAGCCACATGGAAGAAAATGTCACATATTGTCACAATTGAAAAATGTTGCTAGGCAGATTTTGTGAAATTTTTCTTATGAAATCACTAAGCATAAGACTGGATCTTTTCCCAGTTTTTAAATTACAGCCCCATCCACCTTCCCTCACCCCAAGTAAAGGTCACTAGATGATAGCATAGATTTAATTGGATTCCCCCCGGAACTGGGGATTGAATTCAGGCCCTTGCACTTGTCCGGGAAGTGCTTACTCCACTGAGCCATCTCTCCAGCGTAGATTTAATTGAAGGGTAAAAATGCACATGTTTTTAATAATTAGAGAAATGCATAGAATTAGTGGACAGTTTGAAGTATAACACTATGTTAATCAGCTCTCTGTTCCTGGGAGAAAAATCCCGGAGAATAACAACTGAAAGGGGAAGTGTATTTTGGCTCATGGTTTCAGAGTTTCGGTCCATGGTCAGCTGGCTCTTGCTGTAGGCCTGTGAAGAGGCAGAGCCTCATGGTGGAGGACAACCAGGAAGCAGGGGGAAAGGTGGGGGAGAGAGAACCACTGCCTCCAGCCACTGCTTCCTTCCTGCCAGCAGCCCCTTTGGCTACCAGCTCCATGGATTAACTGATGAAGTTAGAGCCCTTGTGATGTAACCTCCTGTCTAGGCCCTGCCTCTAAATGTTGCTGCACTGGGGATCAAGCCCTCAATTTATGACTCTTCAGGGCACAGTTATTATCTAAGCCATAACAAACACTCCTAAAAAGGCCTTATGGATCCTGGATAGACAAAATATGTGGCAGAAAAAAAGGCAAGTCCAATTTCCCTTCCATCTCCAAACTCCCTTTGATGTGACGAGTTCACAAGTGTCCCAAGCCACGTAAGCCTTCAGAATGAGTTTTTGCAAAACTGGTTGGGTCCAAGTCAGGCAGGTGAAAATTGGCTAAGCTTTTTGTTATAATCCTATTTCAATCTTAAGAAACTTTAGAAGAGATCCCGGGGAAGCCACCCAACAGCCCTTGGAATCTGTCTCTAGACTTCTCATAAGGGGAGAGAGATCAGTTTTTCTCTGGTCTAAGTCACTGGCATTTTGGGTTTTCTGCCAATCTCAGTATTACCAACTCTTATTAATATATTTACCCAGGATGTTCAGAGATAATGTCTTTTCAAACATGTTGAGATATTTAAAACAAGAAGAATGGTAGTGTTAGCTGTGACCTAAATTCAATAGGTCTCAGGCTCTTTTGAATATTTGACATCTATATTTCCTCCCTTATAGCAGGCAGGCAGAGAAATACAAAGCTATGAGGAGTTTTCCCCTTTAAATTGTTGTAAATATTCCATGAAGGATAAAGCCAGGATTTCTGTGTTGATTGATACCCTTAAATCCAGATGGAGTGCTTGTCTCATAAGGCAGCATCTTTACTAGGCCATCAGGTGGGGTCCTGGACCCC